GTTCTCTCTGCACTCAGGTTGCACAAGATGATGGCATTTGGCTTTAGGCAGCTCAGTTTCCCCCTCAGGCACAGACACTGGGCTGTCTGCATTCTGTCAGAGAAGTGGGAAGTGCATTTTGTGTATGGGGTCACACTGGAGCCTCTGGCCAGTTTAGCTCCAGCATATGCAAATACCCCGTGCTGGTGGGTGTGTGTGGGGATGGGTCAGGCTGCGGTGTCCCTTGTCCCCGTCACACTAGGAAGGGCCACAAATCTCTTCCACTGCCCAGTCAGCACCATCCCCTTCTCTGTATTCCCTGAAGACACCAGTAGACACACAATGACCCTACATCACTCTCACCTGCATCAGACATTACTCCCTGCCTTTGGCATGCTCAGCCTTAAGGAAACCCAAGTGCTTCTGCAGTTACCTGCCAGTCAGATCTCACGTGGCTCTGCCTGCAGGCCAGCCGTGGATTTTGCCTCTGCCTAAACATTTCTTTTGCCTCATAAAACACACACAGCCTGTGCTGAGCTGCCAGCAGTGACCTCCACACTTATGAGGAACAGCTGAGCAGCAGCACTGCCAGTTTTGGTAGGTCAGTGTCTCAGACATCTCCAGCATTGCACAGCCACGATGTGCTCAATGATTCACATAATCACTGGCTGGCAGTAATCAATTAACCATTTTATGAAGGCACATCCCTGATTCCTGCTTCTCCAGGCTGCTCTGAAGAGCTGAGCTGTACCAGGATGGTGTGACAGGAACTTTAGTCTCCATTTTATGGGATCTGCCCCTTTTAAGACACCTTGAAGTAACTGTACTCAGGGAGTTATCCTTTCTCTTGCATACAAAGGCTGGTTCTTCTTCTTGACAGGTCCCATACCAGAAGGATATAAAGAACAGCAGTGAAAGGCAGGAGGAGAAACCAGGTGCTAGAGCAGTAACTCCCAGACTGGGATTAGCTGCATTTCCTCCCTCACACAAACCCTTTGATTTTCCAATCATTTTTAACAGCTGTTGTGATTTCTCAGTAGAAAGTGGGTTTGTGGTTCAGTATTTTCTCCTCCCTCACACAGAAACTTAAGCAAGGAAAGACTTCAGAGGAAAGCAAGAATGTTAGTTCTAGCCCCCAAAATATGTAAATAAGCTGTGCAGCATCTTTGCATACAAGGAAATTACTAATTTGTCCAAAACAAATTAGTAACTAGATTTTTGGTTTGGTTTTTTTGCAGGTCTCTTGAAGTGCTGTGTCTCTCCAGCACCCCAGATTTGAGAAAATCATAGTTGATAAAATGTCCACCTCCCAGTCAAAATTGCTGCTATGACTCAGAGCTGCAGGTGGGGCCATTCTGAACACTCAATATCAAATAATTTTATACAAATTGCATGTATTAGTGATGCTTTTATCCTTACACAACCCTTTAGAGCAAATGTGGTGGTATACTCTGTACTTACTGAAACTATTTTTCTAACATGAATATCACTGAAATGGCACCCAGGAGGAATAAATCAGAGGGAAAGGCTCTCCAGATAATTTTTCTGGCAACATTTAAAGGGATTTAGCATTGTGGGCAAGCAAATTGCACAACAGGGCTGCAGGTGAGGGGCTGCTGTGGCATCCCAGCCCCTTGTCTAAGAGAAGGGAAGAAAATTGCCTATTGTTTGGGCTACACAACTCTTGTTTGTCCAAGGCTGGTGATCCAGCAAAAACATCTTGTGGTACAAAAGAGGAGCAATGAGTGCTCCCCACTGCCCTTGTGCAGCAGATGTGCTAAAACAAGTGAAAAATAACAGTAACAGTAGCAGCCTGCAAGCTGACATCTTCTAATTCACCTCTTTCACAAAACTGTCACTTCCCCCCACCCCTCTCATTTCAGGTAATAACTTATTAATAGGAGATACCTCCAAGAGAGATACTAAATCCTGTTGGTAGGAGCCACATCAATGCCTGTGACCTCTCTGATGTGCTGGTCTACAGGCATGGTTATATATTAGAAGGCAGAGCTGGTTCACAGCCCTTGTGATGTTTCCAGGGTTAGAGACCTGTAGCTAAGAAGGACCCAGAGTGGTCCAAAAGGAATGTCCCTCTCTGGGTCATAAGCACACGTGGCCTCAGCCTCTCTGACATTGCCCTTCTTGCTGACACCAACACACTGCCACTGCTTTGCTCATTAATAACAAATCCCGAGGGCTCTAAAAAGGCTTGCTGGAGCCCCAGGGATGAGCACAGTGCTATTAAAAGACTATTTATTCTTATGCCCTGGGGAGAGGAGGAGTAACTGAGTGTGACCCTCTTCCCCCACAGCAGGGTGGCCTGTGATGGTCCCAGGCAGCACTGAAGCCATGGCCCTGCCCTCCCACGCTTGTCCTCTGGCCACCACATGATCCCTCACTCTGTAGTGGTTCCTGGCATGTTTGTTCTTGCTGTGCCACCCTGGAAACAATCCCAGTTCAATATTAACTCACACATTATCTACCACTCCTCTTTGCAATGGCAGAGTGTTTTCATGCACTGGGTACCCTTTCTGTGTTTGTGTTCCTTCTGCTGAGCCAACATGCTGCACTCCTAGGAGCCGGAGGGGAACAGGTGGCCAAGGAACTGAGATCTGTGGGGATTCAAAAGCTGATGGTCACCATGGCTAGCACAAACAGAAGGAGACATGAATTGTGATAACTGGCTGTAGTCAGCAGTAAATATGGGACAATGCAACCTAGACCAACTGGAACAGCAGCAACTGAACTGATGGGGCATATGTTAAAACTCATGCAGAATTTCAGTTTTTATAAGCTCGGAGAAAGAGAAACAAAAATTCGAACTCGAGGGTCCTTCCTGAAGGAGAGGTGATTTTACTACTGTCTGCTTGGCAGGTCTGAACCAGGCCAAAGGGAGAGGAAGCCCTGCATGAGTGCAGAGCAGTGGTGGAAGTCCATCCCCAGAAGACAAATGCTCCCCTGCATCTCAGGGTCTCTGTTAGAGAGAATGAGAGATTGTCTTGCAAACAAGATAATGCTTATTATCTTATTTGCAAGATAATGTCTCGTTAGCTGCTGTGTTACAGACCCAAATGTTTTCCTTTCCTACACATACTATGGGAAAAGTCATGTTGTAACACAGTCTTTCTAACAGCCATAGCAAAATGTCAACCCAATTAATAACCAGGCTTTTATTCACTGATTGTCCCATCTTTAACAATTCCCTTCTTATTTTCCTCTCATCCCACAAACGCCATCATGAGCTGTTTATTCCTTGCTCTTCCTTACAAACCTTGCTCTCAAATGAGCCTCTTGAAAGGACTAAATGGGAAAGCAGCAGATGTATGACATCCTCAAAGAGCTCCAGCAGCCAGGGGAGGACCAAGGGCTGGCACCAGCTTCTGCCCTCCCTCTCACCAAGCCCAAAACCACACAGCACTTCATGCCTGGGTATTTCTGAGACCTCTGCAGAGCAAAAAGACCACGTTGTTCCTTTCATCTAGCAATGCTGCTGAATGCTCCTGAAGCATTGACAGCTGAAACCCATCTCCCTTTCACTCCTCTATAATTTCTGAGCAAGGATAGAAAATCATAAGCTGCAGCCAGTGTTAAAGTGTAAAACCAATTCTGGAAAGCACAGCGGTGGCAGTGCTGTGTGCACTCCCCGCTCATGCTCGGACACCAGCTCCTCCAAGGACAACTTCTTCTTTGCCTGTCTCACATTGTACCAGAGAACAACTCTGGCTTTTCAGACCTTCCAGCTGGTAGCTCAGTCTCACTGCATGAAGCAGCCAGTGCTTTTTCAGAAAATGTTATTGCACCACTTGCAATGACCTCAATTTCTGCTGAGCTGCTTCCAAACCAGAAATCAAGCCAGAAAAGACAAAAATCATGACATGACCCTGAAACTATCATCTCCAAACACATGACATGCAGCCCTTTCTACCACCATCCCCTTACCTCCAAACCTACCCTATCTCACAAGGA